AGCTTAGAGAAACGGAGGCTCGATATCTGACTAGACAACTCTGTCGATATGCATTGCTTTAACGAGAAAAGCCACGGCAAGGTTCCTAGTCAACATCTGAACAACACTCTGATAACCACTGCCCGCTTTTAACCAACTAGTTAAGTGGGAGTCGTCAAGATACACACGCCTGCATGTGAAGGGCTATGTTTGCGTAAGCTGTGGGCTTTAGAGTTTGATGTAACACCTGAAACTGTGGTGCGGAAAAATTACAAATTATTTAAGTTGAAAAAAAAAAAAAAAAAAAAGGCAACAGCAGGAGAACGTATCGCAAAAGCTACCGAGATCTTGCATTTTTTCTCGCTGGTCATATACACTCGAGGAGGGCACAAGGTTCCGTTTCCCCAAACTGCCAAGCGACGACGAAGTTTGCGCGAAACCGTCAACACCTGGCAGCAAAAACTGGTCCCCCCCCCCCCCAAGACAACAGTGTGCTGACGACCGTAGGCAGCGCTTGAGGGATGCTGTGGTGGCTAAATCTGAAACCGCCAACGGCAGGCAGGACAAGACCGGCATCCCCTAGGACAACGGTATGCGGACCGCTGCGAGGTTGATGTTTGCGTCCTCCGCCGAGTTGGAAACCCCCGCGCTAAATGCTAACGCACTTCTTGTCGAGAATCAGCGTAATGTGACAGCAGCAGCGATATCGGAATCATTTTGAAACACTTCTAAACAGAACCTCGAGTACAAAAATGTTGTCCGTGCGTACGTACGTCCATCCCTGTATTTCCTGCTAAATTTAGCAGTGAAATTGACGTCACGAGAACTAAGCACCGATTCAGTTACCTGCTAAATTTTGTGGGAACACTGACGTCTCATGGCCCCCAATTCACTTTTCCCGCTAAATTTGGCGGAAAAATTTATGTCACGCGACAACTACACCAATATAATTTCCCGCTAAATGTAGAGAGAAAAAAGTTGATGTCGCAGGACCTTTGTACCACGTCAGCTAAATATATAGGTTCTTCACTCCACGAAAGGACTGCTCCAAGTCTTCCCAACAAATATAAACGATATAATTCCTTAAATTGCGCATTTCATGCATTAAACGTATTTGGAGATAAAGGTCTCTTTCAATTTCTATAGATATATACTATATAATCTTATTTTTTTGCACGGGAGAGAGAAGTAGGTTTACCAGGAAGCGGCGAGCCTCACTTGGGCCCCCGAACAGTCGCATGAAGCTCGCAAGCTGCGGTTTGGCCGCCCCTCATCTAAACTGTACTACTCTTTCTCACAATAACTATGACCTTCAGACACTTTCTTTCACATTGAATAACCCCTTTGACAAAAAAAACGCGAACAAATCACGGCGATAAGGGAGATGGGGGCTGCTGAACACCTAGGCGATCTATAGGCTATAAACTAAAACATATGTCACCAAGAAACACTGAGGGTAAAAATGAATCTCCCTCTCCCCGCTTATAAAAAAAGTGAACACGAAGTAATTGGAGAGCAAACTATGAACCAAAAACAACCGGTCGGAGAAAATGGTAACCTCTAGGCTACATATAAAACACGCGCGCACACACACACACACACACACACACACATACAAAAGTTGGTTTGTAGTCACATTTGATTTGTTGTCGTTTGGTTTTTGAATCATAGTCCGCTGTCAAATTATTTTGTGTTACTTCTTTATGTGTACAAGGTCTGTCTTGGTGGCAGATGTTATAATTTATTGGTCGCCCAGGGGATCAGCGGCCGGTGCGTTCTTGTATCGTCGTCTGTCCTCAACCCGTTTTTTTTCCGTTCCTAGGCGTTCTTGTTTTTTGTTTTTTTTTTTATTACGAAAGGGTTTCAAAGTCATAGCCATGGTAAGAAATGGTTGTACAGTTTAGACGAACGTGTCTACCAGTATCAAGGTCTTGATGCTAAGGGGTCATTCGGTCGCTGTGTCTACAAAGAATGCATCCGTGAAGAGGTCAGTGACGCCAGCATCGGGTATATAGAAAAAGCAAGCAAAATGAAGGATTTTAGCAGCTTTCGAGACTTTCTCCTTTGTTGTTTTTTTCCCCTAAACTTGAAAGTTTCTTAATTCTTCTGCACCACAGTTTCAGGTGTATCATTATGATTAATTATCACCAGCTCGTCGGCACACTCGCCGTTTTTTCTTTGCACTAGGGGACCCAGTAAGAACTTCCAAGGGAACGCAGTCGATTACCACGTTGCAGCACTTTCAAATATCTGTCATGGGGCACGAAGCGAGGGGAAACCATTATACAAAAACGAAGCTTCGAACAGTAAAATTCGAAATGATTTGCACAACCTGGCGAGGTACACAGAAGAGGGAGATACGGTGACAGGCTTAGAAGCACCTGGGGCAGCAGCAGTCTGCTGATATATTCGTTGAGCGGGCTATAGACCATTGGGGTGGCAGCGGCAATGAGGTTCCTCCCAAGGCTCCATAGACGAACATGAGGCATCGTAAGAAAACTGCACAAACTTCATCTATCAGACACACTGGCCGCCAACATGACAAGGACCGAATCTCGTATTCCTAAATATTAGACGATACTTCACTACAAAACGTTGTGCTGTGCATACAAGTACATATTACCGAGAACTGCTTGTAAACAGCAGGAAGTACTCGCAAGCAAATCATTCTCGCTAATCATCATTACATTTCTTTTTCTAAATCAGGTTCAACTTTGCAACTAAATCGTCTAAGTGGAGCTGCTTGCAATGTTGAAGCATCACACTGCACTGAACCTATTACTGTGGCTCCTGGTACTCTCAGAATTGCTAATTTCGAAGTCATTGTTTGGGGGACAATCCTAAATTTGTTCTCAATTTCACATTAAAAAAAACACACAGTTTTTAGTTATAAAAATTAGGAGCATTGTTTTTGCACTTTCCTTTCTATGCACCACAAACATGTCGCAAAGCCTGTCTCGCAAATATTTGCATGGATGGGCACACCCGTGGGTCAGTACTAAAGGTGGCTACATCCGGAGGGACGAATGGAGATGGCTTGTGTCTGCTAAGTTTGACTGATTTTGCAATACCAGAAAAAGTAGGACAGGGCCCTCAATTGCATAATTGCCTATGTCCCCACCTATTAGATATTACTAGACAAATTTCATCTTTAAAAAACATCTTTCCCAGCCTCGACGATTTTTTGATTTAACAATTTCCACGCCATCTCCTTCGGTGTAATGTTGTGGTTCGACAAAGCAAAGCTAAAAGTTAGGTTTACTGTAATGTAATTTTGTCAGGTCGTTGTCAGAGCCATCTCGAAACTTCACTGGCATTCATCCCTGACAATCTTTTAGACCTGGATGAGAGGTACTGTGGTCAGCAAACTTGCACGGAACACCTGAACGGAGTCTAACCTCGTGGAAGCGCTACCCTGGCGATTGTTGAAGAGCAGCTCCAGGATCTGGCGCTCAGTGGAACAGTCTGAGCAGGAGAGGCCGTTCACTCAAGGTCCAACTTACGGCTGGACCACGAGCGACGCATTATCGGCAGCCACATGCGTCAGAGTGCGAGGGGCTGGCGAAGAAGATAGATCGCCCGGCAGGCAACAAGGTAGCGCTCCCACGCGACAAGATGCTTTTCGCGCCTTCCGTAGAAGATTGTTAAGCACGTACAAGCAGTTTCAATCGAGACAAAGTTACGGACAAACCGAAAAAAAGAAGGAACCAAAGGCACAACGTGATCACAAAAAAACTTGGAGGTGCACCCGTTGCAGAAGGATACAACCTAGTGGATGACGGGAGGATACCGAGAACAGACACATGGGAGACCGCTGTAGATTTTGGCACGGTGCAAATCCAGTGCTACTTTTTACAATGCCATCCAGCACACGGCTGACGCTCCCACGGCACTTAATCTTTGCTCTACCACCATTCCCAGCGTGCAACCACACCTGCAACACAAACTTTGATTTGCGCATTGACCCCGCGTCTGGAAATCCCCAGCCCTTTCGACAACCCACGGCGAGACAGGCTACAAGCACCACACGGGAAACCTGGGACTGCTTTAGAGCGTATTGGCCGGGAGAACAGGCACAAACATTTCTAGCCGAATACTTTATATTGAACAACACAGCAGAGAACTGCTTCGAACAAAGTTGTTACGTGCGGATTCATGTCACTTTCAAATCAATGATAGCCTAGTTTCTTCTCCGAAAACACTCCTCATATTCCTCGCAATTTCCGTCATCCTGCCAAGGTCCATTCATCATATACATAGGTTAGTTTGAACGGATAGTGTTGGCCACATTGCGCATCTGAGAACTAGCTGCAACGTAATTCTTTTGTATTTCCAAAGACGACTCCAGTAGCGTTCACAAAGGGCACGTGGAGTGTTCCTCTACTTATTTTCCACAACAAAGGACCTGTCTTGCCAATTTAGCGTTTTCCCCGCTAGATTTAGCGGTTTTCTAAATAGTTTATTGAAAGAAATCGTCATTTTTTGGGTGGCGGGATTTTAACCAGTTTTCAAGTCACGTTAGCGTTGTTCTTTTATTTTTCTGGTGGTTTTAGATGTTTTTGAATTTACATTTATGAATCATAAATAAACGTTTGTGGTAAGTTAGTGCCTTGTGGTCGTAATTTTTGCACACTGGCAGCAAAACTATTTTCAGCTCGCAACACCATTGAGACATTACAACGACAAACCTCGAAACAGGCCTTCAACTGATTTATGCATGAACGCACAAATTCGTTTTTCAAATCTGCCAGATGATAAAGGCCCAGTGAACCATGCACAAACATTAAGAAAGCACACGGGCAATGAGATTCTTAGCTTCGAAACCGATTGCTGCAAGTTCCAAGCGACGTTAGACGGGCCAGGTAACCTGGAAAATATAACCCTTTTTTCTCTCTCTGCAGAGCGTGTAAACTTGGTCAAGGAAGCTTTGAACTGCCACAAAAATATTGGACTAAACAATAGGAACAATAGAGGTGCGCTGGCAGGTACGGCAGACGACATACCAAGCAACCTTAAGATTACTAATGGAGATCGATCTGTGCATGGAAGCAATTGGCGCCGAACCATGTATCTCCCTTCCGAGGGTTCTTTTATTTATTATACTGACGTTAGACTAACTATAGCAATAAACTGCTCTCACTGAAAATTTTACGGTTTTCGGGAATCGTTAGAGAGAGTTTTTTTTTTAGTGTACACGCCACAGACCGAGTTTAAACAACACGTAGGACATACACCATCGCTCGTCCATGGACATCGCTCTAACGCAGTCCCACATTTCCTCGCAACATTGGCAAAACGGAACCCGTTCGAAGAGACTCTCGCCGCGCAACCTTCGTGAAAGGGAAAAATCCCTGTTGAAAGAAGAGGGATGGGGAGGGGGACATCGAATATCACAGCAGACGTGGCACCCCCGCAAAAAGGCGCGCATCACGAGGAACGTTGGGGCGAACCGCGACGGCGCCATTCGTTGTCTGTGAAGTGAAAGGCGGGGACCATCCCCATGCGCTGCCGGGCCAGGTTCTGGAGGGAAGCCCAAGATCAGCTGCTCTTCTTCTTCTTCTTCCGCTCCGCCTCCAGTGCCGCACTCAGGTTCGGCCGGATCTCCCGGTACATGATCTGCGGGGCACGTCATGACCCTAGCACGCGCGACCTTGAACGTCCCGTGTCCTATCGATTGAGAATTGTTGTGTCCTGTGAATTGCGACACGTCAGCATGCATCAACACCAAGAACGTCATCTTAGTGGTGCCGCCTTCCCGCACCTCTGGTAAACGTACCATCCATTGAACTACCGGCTGTCCCAAATAGCGGCCAGGCTCTTTCAAGAGACCGCAAAATTCGGTTTCTTAACCTATCACCCCACGATTTTGTGCAGCGTTGCCCACAGGCGGGGCAATTTTCGCCATAAATTTTCCAAAGAGCAAACTTACCTGAGGAAAAAGTAAAGAAAGAAAAAGGCTTATTCTTATGAAAATGCAGCGAAGTCACCGGTCTTCAAACCTGGCCGCCCTATTGTTGTAAGACTGGTGGCTTCGCTGCATTCCCATAGGAGTTAAGCCTTTTTCTTTTTTTTACTTTTTATTCAGGTAACTTCGCGTTTTGCAAATTTTATGGAAAAATTTCACTGCCTGTGGGCAACGGTGCACAAAATCGTAGCGCGGTAGGTTAAGAAACTGAATTTTGCGGCCGATTTAAAGAGCCTGGGCGCTATTTGAAACACCCGATATTTAAGGTGGCGTAAACTAATCACCCTTGCTAAAACGCCGGATTGATTCATTTATAACAAAACGGCTTACTTTATTTCTATTTTTATCGAGTGATTTTAGAGCGCAACTCTTAGGCGTCCGTTTCCGGGTTGAGCGGCGTCGCTGTCGGCGTCGGCGCAACCGCGCGCGTTGCGTTATGGGAAATTTTTCGCTAACTTTTTTGTAAAAATTTTCCTCTAAGTTTAGCGGAAAAATTTCCCGCTAACTTTAGCGAGTTACGTTTCCCCGCTAAATTTAGCGGGGAAATGGACGCCACGTGACCTCAACAACAATTCAGTTTCCCCGCCAAATTTAGCGGGGAAAATGAAGTCATGACTTCGTGTCACGTTTCCAATGAAACAATTCAGCGGCAGGAGGAGAGGAGGAGGGAAGGAGGACGAAAGAGGACGAAAAGAAGGAGGGGGAGAGGAGGGAGGGTACGGAGTGGGAGCATACCCTCCCCTCCGTACCCTCCCGTCCTCTTCCTCAAGAGCTGCGCTCCACTTTCGCATTACAGAGATTTGGAACAGTCTTTAATTTTTTTTAAAGTGTGAATTCGTATGTCTTCTTTCTGTGTAACGCCTTTGGACCCTGGGGGTATTGAAATAAAGAAATAGACCCGCGCCACGACGCCCAATCAAATTAGAAGTGAAAGTATGCCCGAAGGTGGAAAACCGTAGACCGGCAGCCAAAGCTGCGTACCGGAATAAGTCGGCCGGACGGCCGTTGTAGCCTTACATTGACACGCGCTGTCGAATCTCCACTAGCTCTTTCCTCCGAAATCGAAGCATATGCCTAGCCAGTGAGAGAAGCCGAACCCACCTTTTCCTCGTTGTCGGGCACGCGGCTGAGGAAATCCATGACCTCGTTGTTTGGAATGATGTCGGGGCTGCGTAGCTTTTTGGTGAACTTGTTCACCCCTGCGCGGAGGCATATGCGTTTTAGAGAAGCTCGTTTTAGCGAACGCCGTTCGACCGACCCCAGTTTATCGAATCCTTTTTATAAAGAAACCCAGTTTAGAGAAAGTGGCGATGAGCCTCTTCTTAGCGAATGCGAATGGTTCAGGTGAGATCGAGTTAATATTAATTTATAATATTACATTAATTATAATGCAGGTGAGTTAATATAAAGTTATAACTCACCCGAGTTAATAACTCGGGTGAGTTAATAAGGCAATCTGTAACTTGATTAATTTAACGATAGATCTTAATATTCTCGCGGAAGCAAAAGGCTCGACGAGCGTTAACCGAAAATAGAGGTTTAATCGGAGAACTTTTCCTAGAAACAAGAGAGAATGAGCGTCGAAACAGCAGCAGCGAACGTCGTGGCGTCGGCGTGCCAGCTGACTGGAGTGAGACTGCGAGAGAGTGCGCCTCGTCGTCGGGAGAGTGAATCGGCAAGGCCACGTTCGGCTCCTCACCTACTAGGCTCAGTATCTCGAATATTCAACCTAGATTGTTCGAGAGTGAGCTAGGATGAAACAGACTCGGCAAGCTAATGTTGGCTTCCTCATCTTTTACACTTGAGGTAAAAGTAAATTCGAATCTCCTAGAAGCACGGAGAAGCGTTCCCCCTCAGTCATGCACGCCGCAATATCATCAGAAAACTGCAGCACCTCTGCGCTGTAGATTGTGCACCAAATCATTAACAAAAATGTTGAATAGCAGGGGTCCAAGATTAAGTTCCCGAGGCATTACAGCGTTCAAAACATACGAGGAGAAAAACAACCCTGATATGATACTTTTACGTTCCACCGATGTAACTGGAGATCCCACTAGAAAATCACCCGATCAAACCCAAGGCAGAAGGTTTGTTTTTTTTTTTTTTTTAAATTACGTTTACGGTCAACAAGATCAAAAGCTTTTGTACAGTTAAAATCAATAGCATCAACCAGCACTCCAGATGTGACCTTAGGTAGATAGTGTATATTTATGATATGATACCCGATTTGTTTCCAATGACCTTCCCTGATTTAAAGCATGCTGCATGGTAATCTCAAGGACAGCTAGACTGCAGGTGACCAGCAAAATAAAATTTAGCTGCTGTATGTGGCCATTCGACTGCTGACTTCTGCATCCTCAAATCAGTGTTCAAACCTTTGTGAGTTTGAGATAGAATAAGAAAAAAACTCGCTTACTTTAAAATTTTACAGATGTCCTTTATCTATGTTTCAGTAGATGCAGCAGCGAAGGTTCTGTTTGGGACTCTGGGCAATGTGTGCTTGCGGACTCACCCCAGGCCATGAGCACGTAGCGTATGGGGATGTAGTACAGGATGAGTGTGACGAGTAGGAGCACGATGATGGCAAGCCACGACAGCAGGGGGACGCTGAAGTTAAACGTGCTGAAAAACAATTGTTGCGAGATTTCATTATCCTGCAACAAGAATTTCCATCACCATCCCTTTACCAATCTCTCATAACTCTGGAAAGCTAGGAAAAGTGTATGCCTTCAAGCGTGTGCAGTGCAAGGACATGCGATTTCTCATTATTTTACAATTAGTGGCGATGAAAAATGTATTGATTAATAACGATTGTTTTACCTAACGATAACAAATTTATAAATTCATGATAATAATCAATTTAATAAATAACGATTTATTGATTTGGCTAAGTTTAGCAGGTGATTTAGACAATCCTGCAACACTCAGCGGCTGCGTGACAAATAATTTTTGGTGGTGTCCTTTCGTAGCAGGAAACATATAATCCTCTTGGCGTCCACTTCACTTAAAATCCTTCATAATACATCATACTTTTTTTAGACGTGCATTCAGCAAGACATATGCTTTGTGCGCTAATGCTTTTCTTGTTTCTTTTTATGATATATAATAGTTCTAATTAATTAGCCTTCGGAAGATATAGCTTTGCATTTCGTGCAACTTGGTCATAAATGTTTAATCCAATATATTACAAATAAATCAAGCTTAAAATAGGATCACCGCACAAGGCTTGTCTTGGTGAAGGCAAATATAAAAAAAAAGTTATTATATAGTGTGAAGAATTTTGCCTTAACGGCCTGTAACGAGGGCTTAACAAAAATTACAAATTTATTGATAAGTCAGGATCTTGTACAGCTTTATAAAATCTGTTTGCATGTTTGAAAGTGCCACTGAGCAATACAACAAAACGTTGATGCCCTCATCGCTCCCTTAAGCGTGCACCTAAATGGTGTCTGTCAAACCTTACAGGGACTCTTTGGGATGTCAGTTAAAATCGTCTTCACAATAAATCAAAGGTGGCAGCACGTACAGGAGTCGCAGGTTCGGATGCCTTAGGGGATAGGATGCAGGGTCCTTCGTTTTTGGGTAAAACACGATATTTCCCGGTATTTACATCCCGGACATGTTTCTTAAAAATCAGGTTAAGCCCGATGTTTCCCCGAATTCGAAAATTGAATTCCGGCATTTTCCAAATGACTTTACTCCGAAAATATTTTCTAGAAACCGAAGAATTGGTAGGAACACATGCGCTAGCGCTAGACCTCGTAAACAAACCTCGATTTTTTCTAATACAGTAAAAGAGGCACAAATCGAGACCTTCAATGTTGCCGTCATGTCCATTGTGAAGTATCCATTGCCCTTCTCCTTTTTTCGTTTCAACCAGCGCAACAACAAAAAAAAAAAAAACAGAAAAAAGAAAGGTGAGAAACTAGGTATTCCAAATGTATACGTAGGCTGTAATGCCTACGTTCTCTCAATTCAGATACAATGTCCGATAACTGGACAGGTCTCGGATGGAGACAGATGTTGCGCATGTCGAATATTATGCAAGCAACAAGGATTCATTAAAATTTTAAAAGTCCATGTGAGCTCTTACCCTGTTTCAATGCTATTTTGTGTGCAGTACTTTGATAAAAATAATATATGTATTCAAACCGATCAATTGTTAAACCTGCATATTTCTAAATATTACCTGAAAAACGCGAATTTTATAATAATTTATTTAAAAAAAAACAATTTCTTTCTGATTACCATCTTGAATCAAAGGGCCCAGTTTTTACCCCCCGATTTTTGAAAAATACAAAGCCCAAAAACGAACAACCCCGGAGGGAAGTATTACACGCCATGTGGTCTTAGATTAAATTTTGTGTATACCCTCAGGCTGGAGAGAGATGAACCTGAGCACAATGGTTCATCCGCTAAACACCAATGCAAATTGTACGACGTTCGTTTTACCCCATACTAAAATACACTATACTATTAAGCAATTATTACGGTTTACGGCGTTTCAAGTCAACGAATTGCGGGATATTTCACTAGAGTCCCATCGCTGAGTAGTGAAATTTTTTGGGGACTCTGAAACCGTTCTTAGAAAACATTCCTACGCAAGATCGATTTCTCGTGCAATGTTCTTGGCTTTTGACACTTTGATCCATTGGAAACTCGGTCTCGCATCAATGCTCGTCTTTCGCTAAACAAACCGGCCTTTTGTGATTTTCTCTGGTATCGGCAAAAGGAGAATCATGTACGGTACTTGTTGATCCTTTCGCCGAGCGATGCCACTTCTCCGAGAACGTTTTGCACCGTGGCGGTGGCCTCTTGGACGGCTTGAAGACGCTCTTTCAGGCTTTTCTTCTCTTCCTGGTGGAGGCAGGAGAAACCGCCATTTCAACATTTCCGCGCGACCCTACACAATTTTACTTCCGCCAGTACACTCGACACCAGAAAGGTGCCATACCTATAACCGGTACATTCGTAAAGAAATAAGCTTGGCATCTAGGTAACACTCAACTGTTTTGGGATCCTTGTCATCCTCTTCATCTTCCTCGTCGTCTTCATTGAGCTGCGGGAGAAAGAGAAACAGATGAGCCTTCTGCTTGAGCTTTGAGCAACGTGGCCCACCTCTTCCTCCTCCCTGCCGCCCCCCTGAATCCCGGCCACTGTGAGAACCAGCAGATTCTTGAGGAAGACCAGCAGAAGCACCAGGGGCAGCATGTACAGCTCAGCAGTGTACGTGATCACCAGGAAGGCCTGGAAAATGTGACATCACCCCTCTGCTACTTGTCTGCTTGGAAAACATCAGCTGTACCAGACTATCTCGCGAGCTCTGTGATTGCAAAATAGCCAGTGTTCGCTAATCTGGATTTAAAAAAAATATATATATATATTATCTGAAAGTCCTGATGGTTCCATCGCCTGAACCTGACTGAGCTTAATCTTATCTAGGTTTGGGGAAATGCTTCTATTATTTAAAAATAATCCACTGCGTTTACTGGCCCGCTATGCCTTCACTCCACTGAACCACTCGACGAAAATCTCATTAAAAGACTACATTGATTCCCCGATAAGGTTTGACAGAGTTGATAGCAGAATATTGACTTGCTAAGACACCACCGGTAGGAGTCAAACCCAGAGACAACTTAGAAAAGAAAAGCCAATCTTTCTGAGTCTCTGATTGTTCCTGTCTACCGGCTCAGATACTGAATAAACAAATTCTCGATGGAGAAAGTAGCTCACGGCAAAGGCAAGGAGGGATCTTGGCACAGACTCCCAGAGGAAGCAGCTATTGAGAAACTTGCCCATGTCAATGACAAACATGACAATGTTCTTGACACGCGTCAGGTTGCGCATGAACACCTGTGAAGGCAAAAGAACAAAAGGATTAGATGAGCAAGCGTTGGCAAGGTTCCCTTTTATACGGGAACCTGCACTGGTCATTACTAAGCGATGCTTCGAGACTACACGCACTTCGAAACAACATTAAAAACTGCGTTAAAGCTCCTTGTACTGACTTCTCTGCAGCATGGCAGTACAGTAGTGGATATGGATTCTGAAAAAAAAACATATGGGAATATAATGGTCTAATGATGTCAGCATTGTAGTCCCCTTTGAGAGTCCAAATAGAAGCTTCGAAGGACTTTACGATTATATATAATACGCGAACATAGATGATAGTTGGCAGATCTCAAAGTCTTTGTTGTTTTTTAGAGAATTTGTGAAGTTACACATAGGTTTAGGAACCATGTTCAGGCCTAAGGTTTCAGATAGACGGTTGCATGAACTTTGTAGCCTTATAAAGGAAAAGAGCCGACCTACTCACAATGCGTTTGAACTTCTGGTCGAGTTGCATGAACTTGGTTTCTTTAGGGTTGAATGTCTTCACGCAGGCTTTGATCTGTGGATGTATCAATGTTTTGGGGGTGCAGTCACAGCCTTGCACAGAAAGACTTGATGGAGAAAGGTTGCAACAAGCCAAAAACTTACCGGATTGTAGACAACGTTCATCTCCAGAAGGATCTGACCCTTGACTCTAGTCTTGAGTTTCCGGTCCTTCAGACCGTACCATTTCTTTTCTCCGTTTTTAATCTGAGGAAAATAAAGCATGTTAAATCCTATTAGGAGCCTTTCCCCGAGAGATCGCCCATCCCGTTTTTCTGGCTAAATATCTAGAAGATTAAAAATACTAAACATCGCTCACTCCCTATTCCCGTCGGAAACCATAGGATGTCCGACGGGAATCAGATCACCTGCATGATATGCGGTACCGGTACGTGTGACATGGGAGTTTGTAACGGATTTCCGCGTTTTTGTCCGCAATTTGCGAACACGAAATTGGTTCCCATGTGACACGCGAGTTGATTCCGCGTGTTTCTTGCACCGTGAAATGCGTGTCTGCCTCGTCCGCGATTTACGAGATCGGATCCCATGACATGCGAGTTTGTGCAGTTCCCGCCTGTCCTTCGCACTGAATCTGCAGGGTGCGCAATCTGCCATATCTTTTACCCTGACACAGGAGTTTGTCGCTAATTCCCAACTGTTTATCGAATCGTGAAACGCTAACTTTCTCTGTCCGCGATCGGCGCTATCTGTTCCCGCTTTACGTGGTTTGTAGCGGTCGCCCCACATCCCGGTGTTCTATCGCTACTATTTTTATATAAAGTTTTGCTGTCGTACCTCTAAAGATAGCCCACCCAATGTTTACCACGATTTATCTCTTCATTTTGAGTGGGCCTGCTTATGGGAATTTACGGTAGTGTATCTTTATTCACAGATGTTGTAGGGTGCATTCAGGCATAATTTCCAGTTTGCATTGAAGCACATTCATTTATGCATAAGACCTTCACAGGAGTACTGACACCTTTCAAAAAATGAGCTTTTACGACGTCAGAAGTGAACAAGACCGAGCCAGAAAGTACAGTAAAAGTAATGACATGAAAATAGAATATTTCGATCATGATACTGCTCAACTCTAAGAGCTTCTGACAGAGTTCTGACGAACGTTCCAGTGTGTGCTTGGAAGTGCGAGAAGTTCTTTGACTGCCATGCTCAAGACATCTACATCCTTATGTCTGTTGCTGAAGTTCTCTAAAACAGAAATCATTCATATGTATGTCATAGCGGTAGCCTTTAATTTGTCTTCAGTGTTTTTAAATCTTTCCAAAATGTATTTACCTTGATGAGAGGCACGGCAAGCTTTCCGAGGAACTCGCACTTCTTGTCCCGGTCTTCGTCGTACACCGTTAGTTCCAGTACCGAATGAATGTCCTTTACTTTGCTGAGGAAGAAATAAAAGAGGGAATGCCCTTCTCGAGAAAACATATTATCAATTTAAATATTAAATGTCTCATTTGTCCGGTGCAAATAACACTTTCATTATTTAGTTTTTTACTATTGCATTTAACATCTACTCTAAGCTTTTACACGCTTAAAGAGACAATGAAGGCAATTTCAGATTTTTTTTATTGCATTTAACATCTGCTCCAAGCTTTTACTAAAGGCAATTTCGGATTTTTTTTTTTTTGTTTCGGCGATTGAACTGCCTTTTAGGCACGTCTCAGGCCACGTTGCCCAAATTTCAGCCGAAACTGGCGCTTGTGGGCCGCGCAAATCAATTAAACAGTCGCGGTAATAATCGTACCGGGATCGACTGGGGCGACGCCCCGAGAGTTGCGGGAGAAGCCAAGATAAGCGGGGCTCACGTGACCGATGCAGGGCCTAGAAGCGCGACGTCACAAGAGATGCGTCAGCGATTAATCGAAACAAGACAAGTGCCCTTGGTCACGTTTTGGTTCGCAATTTTTATGAAGACTGTTCCAATTTCCCCTTCAATAACCATGAAAAGTATAAATCGGACCGGAAATGATTACTATACCGTAAATAAAACAGCGGAATTATATTTCTCTTCGCTACGCTGGACGCGGAATGGGCAACGAGCAACTATGGGCAAACAGAATAAATAAATAAAAAAGAACACAGCACGAAGCACGCGGGAGTCGTTTGGTTTTGGTTTCAGGTATCGGTGTCGTGATTACTTTGGGAACACGGCACTCGAAGGATTCTGCAAGGCGGTATAGTCATGCCAAATTCGTGCGCCGTAGAAAGCTGTTCAAACGATCGACTGTTCAAAGACCCGTGATCATTTGGGCGACTCAAGTTTTCACGTACTCCCAAGCGATGAAGCATTGCGAAGTCGCCGGTTCAACAGCGTTGTCTAGCGTAGAGGTCTCGGAGATGGCCTCAGAATTCGTTCGCCAGATTTTCGGTGAGAAGACTTTGAACAGCACGTTCGGTGTTGCCGTAACAACGTTGCGGTGGCGTAGGCGAGCTGGGTGGCAACGAATCACTCTGGGTCGGCGAGTGAGAGGTCAGTGGCAATTCTGGGGCGTCCTCGCAAAGAGGTATTCCAGAGTCCCGCTTCCTTAGGAGAATGTCCCGTTCCATTGGTGTTGGGCCACTGAACGGGAGCCCGAACTCGCTCGCAAGAACGATATTGTCGTCCATGTTGTCAGGTTTGACGAAACGACCGCGCCAATGCGTTGCTATAACGCCCCGCGGTAACCAGAGTCCCGATCTCCTAAATGCTTCCAATACCGACTATTCATACTTAAAGTCACTCCCTACGTCTCCTGCGCCTTCGGAGGCCCAGGAATGAATTAGAATGGAGATAGTTCAGTTTCGGTTTCTTCGGTTCTCTCGTTGGCACAGAAATACGCCTCACAACTGTCTATAAAAAATTGGACAGTGTGCTAGGCTCCCAAGAAGCCTAAAAACGCCATTCAAAAAAATTCATAAAATCGCCTTCATTGCCTTGTTAAGGTATACTACAATTGCTGCATAACAGAGAATAAACTGTAAGTGTGAAATACATTTTTGATTGCACCCGATTGATGCAGTCTCTTTAAGAATGTATCATTTTTAGGCATGTGCAAACAGTGAATTTTGAGTTCGAAGCAAATAGTACTTTTTGCTGAATATTTTCAAATCTAATACCGAATCGTATCTCCAAGTCTCTCACCACTGCACTATGCTTAAACAATAACCCAAGTGAAGGCGTGAAGGTTGCTCCTAAGCCACCATTCGCCCATTTTTAAGCTAAATTAATATTATTCTAACAATATTTATTGACTGGAGCCTCAAACTCCAATGCCTACCTTGGGATGGCAAGTACACGACAGATTCAACATAAAATTAAATATATCAATATACCCTTCTAATTTAATCGAAGATATTTATTAATGTTCTTGTGGTATGCAAATTTCTTCAATGAGGAAAGGTTGAAGCAGGTTGTCAGGGTATCTCTTCCTACATATACTCATGCACTGCTTAATTTCGAAACTTGTACTGCAACATAGATATCAACATTCCCAAAGCTTATTTCTAAATACACTTCAGGCACGCGCGTGCATCATCCCGCTTTCAAAATGTGTTTTTGTTATGAGCAAGCGGCTGCGATATTTGTATTTTTTGAAATATCGATCGCTGGGGGATAGTCCTATTAAGCGCGCTTGTTACCGAGCACCGGTGCACTGCAGAAAAGCAACATCCACCGAAGCGAGCTCTGCGGATGTTGCTTCTCCGCCACGCACCGGTGCTTGGCAGAAAGCGCACTCAACGGGGCTAACCTGTCGCATCAACACTTGAAAAAAATTCGAATATCGCAGTTAATCTCAAACCGAACATTGAATAGCGTATTATTCGAAACTAATTTTTCGAAAATTCGCGCACGATCGCAAACACTTTTGCAAATTATATCCTGTACCTAATGGTTTTTCCATAAACATGCACCATAATGACCCCAGACTGGATCGGTGAAACGAGGCCCAATTCTCGAGAACTCTCAAATAAGGCGCGCTATGCTGTCACAACGCTTTAAAAGACGAAACATGCAAATATCTGCGTTCAGTGACATAAACTTTAATTTCTTTCCCTCTTTTGAGCTAAAACGTGCACAGGTGTAGCTAATGCAACAGGTGTCACCGTCTGCTTGGATACAGATAGCGAAATACCGACTACTACTCGGCAGGGAAATTTAGCACTCTAGGTGTGGCTCACGCACAAGGCAAAGATCTTGTTCCACTCGGGCGAGAGCGTCTTGTACTCGGTGTGGGTCTGTAGCCTCGAGTTGACCAGCTCCAGGACGCAGAAGGGGTCGCTCTTCCCACCCAGGTCGGCAGAGGCAAGCCCCTGGGCCTTGAACACTGCGCAAGACAGCCAGCTCGAAATGCTACACACGCGCTAGAAATAAAAGTCATTTGCTTCGTCTCCCTTTTTGTTTCAAGCTTAATTATCCTAAACGCTACGCAGCATCCATCGAAGCGATCAATGTAGCATCGATCGTTACTCTGAGCGGCACAGTTTTTGCGGGAAAATTTTGGAGTATACGCTTCCCCTAACACTCAGCTTTTGCACCGAATACCGGGGGGGAAATAATAGCGAAAAACCTGGAGCTGTAAGAACACCTTGGCAGCTCTGGCAAGTTTCGGCATATGACCGAGGATATCTGTTCGTGGTCATCGATAGGTTTAAGATAGCACGCACTTCAATGGATGCCATAACCCATAAGTTTGAATCATCATTCCTGTCGGCCGCAAACAGTCGAATCATCAACAGATCAAGCATTTTCTTTAGATCCTCAAAAAAATAAAGGTTAAAAAATGTGCCGGTGCAATCATGAAAGGCAGCTTGAACTGGGTGCTAATCTTAGTGTAAGATGATGTGGAAAGTCTCGTTTTCTAAAGATCTAATTACGAATCAGCATTTTTGATGGTTCCGGCTTGGAGGTTTTCGCAATTCAATTGTCCTTGTAAGGGTTGCGTTGCGTGAGCGGAGCAACGACGCACCTTTGACGACTAGGTGACCAACGTCGTCCCAGTCGTGGAAGCTGTGCAGGAGACCCTAGAGTAAAGAGTATAGAAAGCATCACATTCCTGTAATCTCAAAGTTGTCGAAACAACAAACAAGCACCATCACCTTTCTCAAAGTGGTCTATCAAGCAGAACCTTGAGACAATTAAGCATTATTGACCGATAGATACTTTGTCGTTATACTTTTATATCAGAAAAACTTGAGCTCATGTTAGTTATGAGTCCTTGTATATTTAAAGGGATGCTGAACCGAAATTCGGATTTCACAAAATAAAGTAACAGAAGCATTGAATGGGATGCTACGAACCCCAATACAGCATGCACTCATGCAGTGATATCTCAAACGGATGGCCGTATTTCGGGAAAAAGAGGGCGCGCTCAAGTGAAGAACGTGACGTCACGATTTTCTTCGAACAGTTGAGAATGAGGGGAAGCAGCCTCGCCTCTCCTCCCCACTTCGGTTCACCAGCTCGACGGGACGAAGCGAAGAGGAGAGGGAATGAGAATTGCGACGTGACACGTCTCCTCGGCCTCGACGGTCATGTTCAATCGCGCACTTCTTTTCCAAAAAATACGGCCATCCGTTAAAGATATCGCCGTATGAGTGATGTGATTGGGTTTTGCAGCGTCACGGCTATCGCTCCAGCCTTGTTTTGTGAGCTCGAAATTTCTGTCCAGCACCGCTTGAAAGGGAAAATACAGTACCTAACGAGGTATCTGATTAAAAATAGTGAAAGGGAACACTGAAGCCATTTTTCCTAGATACCGGGCGATGTGCCCACTAAGCACCGACGAATGTTCCAAGATGCACATTTTTGAGGAGACCTCCCTGAACCTAATGATCTCAGCATCGGAGCTAGGAGGCTGAACTAATGCTAGGACACGGCATTAAAATTTTAATAATAAAGCTACGCGGGATATCACCAGTCATAAATACGGTTCTCGAGTATGTCGGACACCTTTCGACTGAAGCTCGAAAGGAACCTACGCTCCCTTGGGCCCGTTTATGCTGCCAAAGAATGTTTACATCCAAAAGAATCCGCCAAGCCATTTCGAAAACCACGACGCAAACTGCGTTTGACGGATCTGAGCTGACGATGCTGGACGGAACCGACGATGACACAGGCTATATTCAGGCACGCAAATCCGGGCGTAGTTTTTTTTTTTTTTTCATGTTAGTTTTCGTTTTTGTCATGTTTGGTGACACCTACTGCGCAAAATACAATAAATATCTAAAATATTTTGCACTCGCGTTAAACCATGAAAACTATTGATGTAAATATTTACAGCATTGCGGAGGTAATGCATCTCGCGTCGAAAATGAGCAAACGTTGCGCCTTTCACCTTTTTGTCGGTAGATTTCTAAGCCATAATTTGAAGAAGAAAAAAATGAATAGACTACAACAGGGGTGGCCAAGCTGTGGCTCTTCGCGCGTTAAAGTGCGGCTCGCGGCTCCCTCTCCTACACCCCCCCCCCTCCTCCCTCCCCGGTCACACGAGCACTTTCCCAAAAAGAGAAATGGAACGCATTTTAAAATCAAAAGAGAGGTTGCGGTTTAGTAGTCTTGTGCTACTGCTAACTTACGTACAGTTGGACTGCTTTTGACTCCAATAAACCGAAAGTGGTCTAAGTTTCGTTTATTGCTCTAAAAAAAAACTTGTTTACCCTTCTCCCTCTCCCTCCCCCTCCCTCCCTCCCTCCCTCCCTCCCTCCTCCCTCCCTCCCTCCCTCCCTCCCTCCCTCCCTCCCTCCCTCCCTCCCTCCCTCCCTCCCTCCTCCCTCCCCCTCCCCCTCCCCCTCCCCCTCCCCTCCCCTCCCCCCCCCCCCCCCCCCGTGGCTCGTGGGTTTTGTGGTTTTGTTTGCAACTCTTAGGCCGGGTCAAAGTGGCCACCCCTGGACTAAAATATTAAAATGTGCGCAATATATAATTACCAAAAAGTTATTTCCAGTGATATATAAATGACTACATTACAGTGCAATCCACTTATAATGATATTACATATAACGATATACCGCTTATAACGATCAGTTTATAGTTTCCAGACCAGAAACGATCAGTATCTAGTCGATAATCGGCTAAAACAATTGTGTTTTTGGTTTTTTTTTATTATTGTTGTAAGTGGATTTCACTGTACGGAAATATTAAATATTTAATGCTCTCTACACTTGCCCTAGCCCGGCGAAAGCTTTTTTTTTTTGTTTTTTTTTTCATTTTACACGTTCTGCACTGCATGGGCCATTCGAATTTCGGAACGAACATCCGTGATCAAGGTCTCTTCTATCTCCGCTTGCTTTTTTTTCCATACGACTTTCTACAGTGATTTGCTACCTGACTTGGCAGCTTCAGTGGTGTCACTTTTGCAGGCACTACATAGCGGTTTAGTGGCTCAACAGCTTCAAAATCTGGGATAAATGAAACCTCCCTATGTGGGAAATTTCTGATGCACGTTGTCATTCACTGTTGAAGTACTAAAAACAGTGCTGGCAGAGGTAGTCAGTACCTTCCAGTTCTCCTAATGTCTCCCCGGGCGAAATCGTCTTCACAGATTTGATGTCCAGACCTTGCACACTGCGAAACTTGCTCTGCTTTGCTACCCTATTTTTCGTGTTTACTGGGATAGTCAGCACAAAATACTCTACAAAAGCTGTTTCTTCTGCCAAGACGCGACTGCGCGGAAGTGGCAACCACTTCGTTTGTTTTGACCGCAATGCGTCTTGTCTTGTCTCACAATCACAAGACTCCGCGACCATCTAAAAGCATGACGGAGGAGAGAGATTGCGTTCTTAGCTTTTCTACGAAGCAATGTACAGAGCACGTCTAACTACGTGGCAATCAGTTCCTCCAGAAAAAAAAAAAGTGCCCCAGGACCAAACAGGCGATAATTTCGTGTGTTATGTAGTCCATGCAGTCTCTGGTTCCCTTAAAGCCCCTATTTAGGTTCACGAGGGGGGCCATCGCTGTAAGTCTTGTGGGGTTTGCTTTCAGTCTGAGCCACCGCCTTTATGATGTAGCGCTGATTAGGTCGGTGCCGCTAGTACTCCGTGCGCCGCTTTCAGGGCTTGCGGCATTTCGCTTTTGGCCCGAACACGGCGTCGGCGCTTTTTTGTATGGCGGATTGACGTATTGAGCGAACGAAGAACATGTGGGAAGCCAAGTGAAGGCCACGTTAATACTGTCCGATGTACGATAAATAAGTGGCGAAAATAGAGTGAATAGACCGGTGAGCTTGTTTGTTACACACTGTCGAGACGTATAGCCAACCGGCAACGGCCAGGAGGCGCCAGCAGAGTGAGAGAGCTTGGCTATACCCTGTCTCGTTGTAACTTGGCAAAGGGTGAACGATAAGCCTCACATTGCGTGCCGAAGGCTTCGAAATGCGATACGCGCGCACCACACACAAATTGGAGCATGACGCAGCAAGAAGCCTGATACTCCTCCGGAGTTGAGGCGCGCTCCGGTGATAGGCAGTCACGTTCCGATTGGCCCACCAGAGCCGTACCTTCCGCTTTACTGGCACGTTACGCGATCGCGGCTTCCTGGGATACCCAGTATTTCTTGCTTCAGACACTAGGCTAAGCGGCGCCACCAGAGTAAAAGCTCACGTTTGAACAATGCAGCCGCCACTCCCAGGGGTACCCAATATTTCTTGTTTCAATCGCTAGATGGCGCCAAACCAAACAGCATTGCAGGTTGCCTATTCTGTTTGTCACCTTTTTCGTACGTCGTCTCCGTTTCTTTTCTTCTTTTTTTTTTTTTCAAAAGTGTGTAATGATTGGTCTATTCTCTTTGCTGGCACATATGTGTCAAGATGCTTGTTCTGTGTCATCACCCGTACGCTCAAAATCTTTGAAAATAAAGAGAAGCCAGAAAACGGGGGCCAGATAAAAGCTGCCCCACATAGGAAATACAAAAAAAAGAGACCTTTCCATAGCCCACATACTTCATTCTTTACGTTTTGAATGCTTTTTTTTTTACCACTGGTAAGGTGCACGACGGCGTTATGTTTAAATATGAGACAGGACTCGCATATAAGCGTCACCAAAATCCTGGCACGAATCATAAACACACTCTACATTCCTTTCGATGGTTATTTCCCTTAGATTCGTCGCTCGTGTTCACACACCGACTCCAGAAGACGCAGGTTTGGGCCCGAAATATAACGAAGTTTAACATCGTTCACTGGCAAAGAAAAATGCCGTAACCAAAGCAATTACACTTTTACAATGTTAAGAAAGGGACATACTATACGGTACGACCCCAATACCGAAAGTGATCCGGGTTATTTTCCGACCAAGAGAAAAAATGCACCCGCGTTTTCTCGTAGAAATGCCCAGGAGCACCGCAAAAAGCAGACTGGTTGTTGTCTGCTTCGATTTCGCATCCCGGAAGTCGCACAGACACTAGCGCCAGTTGAACCTCTAGCGTACATTAGAATAACCCTATGGGCCAAATAGGACAATAAACACGTTTTTCGGATACGCGTTGCAGACACCGTAGCGAGAAAAGGGGGGCACTCACGTATCTGAGACGGACGGCCCCGTTCCTGGCCACGGCCCCGGCCGCGTCGTGGGCGATGAGGTCCGAGACGGAGCTGGAGCCCTGGGTCCCGCTCACGGTGAGCAGGAGGAACAGGGAGCCCGCCCCGTCCTCCAGCTCCTGCCAGACCGAGTGCGTCCTCTCGGGCTCCAGGCTGCCTACGTCGATCGAGCACCTGGGCAGCGCACCGCACACCACAGCCTCCTATATATGCTGACAGAGCCTGGCAGATTGCCACGAGAAGCGGCCGCCGAAAGGGAAAAAAAAGGTGGAGCGGCAGACAACGGATGAGAGGAGAGCCACGTGACTGGCGCCCCGCTGCGGCGAGACGCCGAAACGCACTTCTCCCGAGCGAACGAGAGTGTTGTTTCGGGTCCTCGCCGCCGCAAAAGCTGTGCGCGCTGGCGTCCAGGTTCCCCGAGAAATGGCTCTTTGGCGTGCTCTGTGCTACCAGACCCTCGCGCTCCAAATCTGCGACCGGGCACTCTATGGCTCCGTCGTCGAACTGCCAGGCTTTGGGTGTGTAGAGGAGACTATGCTTCCGTCCGACGTGCACACGCGAAGCCGTCGTCAAAGGTATATAATAAGCTCGCGCCGGGACAACCGAGGCTCCTAACCGCCATTCTAAACTCATCACTAACTGTATAATAGTACATTATTTGCTAGAAAAAAAAAAAACAGAGTGAACGACAGCTTCGATTGGCACACATTTTGCCAAGACGCTTTCCTTCTTCACGCGCACAAAAAGAGCTTACAGCTCGAGTTCTTTATCGCTGGAAAATGGTGCGAAAGGGAGAAAGAAAATTAATAGCATGAAAATAATTGAAATAATATGACATGCACGCGGCAAAAAAAAAAGGACAGAGGGGGTAAAATATGGGCAACACACCAAAACAGTAATTCAATGTGTGGTCATGCGAATCGCGAGAAAATATATAGAGAATAGTGAAGTGAATGCCGCATTAATTATCTCCTGGTCGCTTTCATAGCCACACTGAGTTAGGAAGCGAGCACTGAGACTGAAGCACTGAAGTGCCAGCACGAATAACGATGCTTATGTAAGTGGCCATGATATTTATATATACGGACGACACGGTGCCCAATGTTGCCGAAACACACCCCTCCCTTCAATACAAACCTTTTGCAAAGACAAAACAAAATCTAGAAATCGGAGATACCGACGGAGATTGTCACATTGTCGGAGCACAACCTCGGTAATGGGGCTTGTCTCAATAATTTTCTTTTGAGGTGGGAAAAAAATAGCTGTACGCTTTTCAGCTGAAACCTACCAATTTCACAAACTGGGAGAGTGAAGGTCATAATTGTTTTTTAATGCGAAAGCATTAACTTTTTTATGGAGCGAACCGGTGTTCTCAGCTTTTGAAGCCGCGCCAAACGGCACCTAAATTCCCGTCTCAATGGAGAGAAACCTGTTGTCTGTAGCAGCGAATTGACGGATAAATTCCCATTGGCTCCGTGTCACGCGTTTCCGGGGTTGAGGCTGCTTCTGCTCCTGTCGGCGTTGAGGAACATGGCGGCGCCTGAGGCATCTATATCCTCGGCGGCCGCAACCTCGGCAATAGCGAAACGTGGCCGTCCACGCCAGTACACCGCAGACGACTAAGGGAGCGGAAGAACAGCATTCATGCTTTCGCATTCACAACTCATAAGAAGTACTTGAGTGTCATCGGAATTTTTGTTTTCCTCATACCAAGTGAGAAAAGTATAAGGTTTTTCCTTTTTTTTTAATTTCGCGTTTACTATAACAATTTGCATGCACAGTGTAACGGTAAACAATGTGCGTGTCTGTTTTTTTTAAGTAGTCAAGAAATCTTTAAAAAAAAGGAAACTTTAGGGTTTTCTCACTCCCGGGTTAGTGGCCATGGCAGCCACTAAAAAACAGGTGAATTAACTAAAAAGCTCTATGTAATTTTTTTAATTATCATTTATGGGTGCGTCATGTTATCGAACAATCGACGTTCGACCCCAATACGGTCTAGCCGTGCTGTGAAATTTTGATTAAAGAACTTGTAGCGGGCGCAAGCTGGTGAAAAGTTTCACCCTTGTACTAGGCTCCAAACCGAAACTACCGTATTTACTCGCACAATGAACGCTCTCGCGTAATGAACGCACCCCCCAAGTCGGCTCTCAAAATTTCGACTTTTTTTTCACTCGCGTAATAAACGCACCCCCAACTCGGACGTCAAAATTTTGACCCCCTCCCCCCACGCGCGCGAAATGAACGCACTTTTCTATCCTGGTGCAGCGAGGTCGCAAATGCATGGGCAGTGTCGGCGAACAAAACGCCTTGCAAAAGGCGTTAAAAAATTCGCAAAGATCCAACAGAAGCAAGAAAAAAAGAAACATGGAGAGGAGCTTTTTTTTTGCACAGCGCAGTCTGGACTTTGGGTTCGCGTGCCGCCGCGCGCAAGGAGGTAAGAAAGAGAAGGGGAGAAGCGCTCTAAGCGAACGAAACAGCTTGCGAAAGGCGGCAAAAAAAAAAAACCCACGGAACTATGAGAAAACAAAAACAAAGAGAAGCTTTTTTTTTTTTTTTTTTTTTGCACAGCGCAGTTTGGTTACGGGGTTGCGCGCCGCGCGCAAGGAGGTAAGAAGGAGGAGCGGAGAAACCCTCTAAGCAAACGAAACAACTTGCGAAAGGCGGCAAAAAGAAAAAAAAAAAAAAAACAGGGACTGAGAAAAAAACAAAATAAAAAGAGGAGCTTTCTTTTCTTTCTCTTTTTTTTTTTGCACAGCGCAGTTTGGTTACGGGGGGTCGTGCGTCGCGCGCAACGCAGCTTGCTAAAGGCGGCAAAAAAAAAAAAAAAACACCCAAGGAACTAAGAGAAAAAAAAAAAGCAAAGAGGTTTTTTTTTTGTTGCACAGCTTAGTTTGGTTACCGGGTCGGTCGGGCGCCCCGCGCAAAGAGATAAGAAGTTACTTCGATATTTCAGGATAAAAGGTCCGTTCATCATGCAAGTAAATACCGACGCAAAAATTTTACTTCGCGTAATGAACGCCCCCCCCCCCCTCCCCCCAACTTTGCATCGATTTTTCGGGAAAAAAAGTGCGTTCATTCTGCGAGTAAATACGGTAAGCGGGCAAAGAGCGCCAGTGACGACTATCCTTCCGCCCTGTACCAGTCTAAAGCCCCTTTATGTTTTAAAAGTAGCGCAAGGTGCGTCAATGCACGATCGCACGTGCAACGTGCGTCCCCTGAGAAGATCATGGCGGCACAGCGCGGCACAGAGCTAGATTTCAGACGCCATGTTCTTCCCGGAAGTGGTGCGCGGCACGTGTCTCGCGCATTTCCACAACAATGAAAGGCGTCACTTTTCCCAGGATAGAGGGGCTTTATACCAGACAGGCCTCCCGTGCTGCCTAACGTCTTTTTTGGTGGATCCGTCCGACCCGCTCCTAGCGGCAGACAGGCTAAAGCTTGGCAAGAGTCGCCCGAAAGCGACAGACGCATCCGTCCATATCAAGATCGAGCGTCATTTCTACACATACACATGCCAACCAAAACAAAATGTTTAAAAGGTGAATGAACACTTTTTTTTAGTTCACTATCCCATTTTATTATTTTCCAGTCGCTGACATGGCCGCCAACATTTGAATTACCGAGTCAATTGGTGTTCACAAGGAAATCTTTCTGGAGTTTCAAGAAAGCCAGGTGTTATGGCAAAATACATGCAAAGGAGAAAAAAGGACGAATGAGGGGAGTCCCGACCTGCCCATGAAGTCACCCTTTCCGCTGAAGTCCTTGTCCCAGACGGTCAGCTCCAGTGTCCGGGACTGGTCGGAATACACGTGCAGGTCAAACTGCTCGAGCCACTGCGGATTCAGCGTTTTCGCAGCGCTCTGCGCACAGGGGAACGCACCAGAAAGAGGGGGTTATCCTGGGCTTCCTTCGACACTCAAACAAGCACCTCTTCAAGCCGCATGAGCTCGGAGCACATCTTGTGCCTTTGCATCTCCAGTGGACGCACCGAGCGTGACATGGCTCGTGCTAAACTAGAAATCCAAGAGTATTTTTTTAATTGTTTTTTTTTCTTTCGAAGCTGAAATCTTCATTTTTTTTTTGCATAAACTGATGGGCGTATATTGGCAATTCAATGAACCTTCAGTGTAAAACTTCGTTAGATATTTACAATCCGAATGTAAAAAACGAGACAAATATTATTTGCATTTGGATGCCAAATTTAGAGTGCATGAATGAGAAACCGCATGAATTCTATATCTTGGGCAAGATGCAGTGAGCACCGATAAGCAGAAATAACAGTAGTAACCCACTAAACACAAAACATTTTTAGGCACCTTAGGTCGTTTTAAAGCGTTTTACAAGTGATGCTTTGCGGGGATTTCGGTGTCGGCGTTTGTTGTCTGTCGTCGCAGCGGAAAAACCCTCCTTCTCTTCTCTCATGGGAAGAGAAGGAGCTTCTAAAGAAAACCTCCCAAAAGCAGATCGACTAAAATCGAATCTCAAAGGCGCATCTTTCAGGAAACGCAGCAGCTGGCGCTGTCAGTCGCGCCACACTTTGCGTGGTTTCTCTTAAACCTCTGGAAGCACGATGTGGATATGTGTAACGAGGGGCGTACTTTGCTCTTGTACTTCTCGTTGCCCAGCTTGAAGCGGACGTACGGGTCGCTGAAGCCGTTGTCGTCCATGGACAGGAGATTGCGGCCCTCGACCAGGACCACGTTCACCACGCTGTCCCAGGGCTGGGTCTTGGCCTTCTTGGCCCCCGCGTCGCCACTGCCGCTGGAGCCCAGTCGCAGGCTCTTGCTGAAGTACTGCGAGCAATCGGGAGGTCTGCTTAGGGGCCCACCAATGCATTCCCAAAAGTTTTTTTTAAAGTTTTTTTACGTATTTATTTATACGGGGTGTGTCCGCTAGGCCCTACGCGTGTCCAACCAACCCAATGTTGATCGCAGTCTTATTGAGAGAGTCGAGACACCTATGTGCCATGGCAAACTGGCTAATATCGCGGGTGCATTAGCCAACTTTTTTATGTATTTGTGCGCTGGTCCTTCGATACAAAAGTTGTAGAGTGTGAGATCCCAACGTTTGACTTCCAACGAGTTATCCTTTTAGAGCGCAGCTCTTAGGCGCCCGTTTCCGGCTTGAGCGGCGTCGCCGTCGGCGTAACTGCGCGGTGCATAATGGGTAAACTTCCCCGCTAAATTTAGCGGAAAAATTTCCCCGCTAAATCTAGCGGAAAAATTTCCCCGCAAAATCTAGCGGTAAAATTTCCCCGCTAAGTCTAGCAGAAAAATTTCTCCGCTAAATCTAGCGGAAAAATTTCCCCGCAAAATCTAGCGGAAAAATTTCCCTGCTAATCTAGCAAAAACAATTCCCGTAGCGGAAAGATTTCCCCGCTAAATCTAGCGGAAAAATTTCCCCGCTAAATTTATCTCCGCTAAATGCAGCGGAAAAATTTTCCCACTAAATCTAGCGGAAAAATTTCCCCGCTATATCAAGCAGAAAACTTTTTCTGGGGGTGGTCACGTGACCCCCCCCGGTCACGTGACCCCCCACGTGGACCCCCCTACCCCGAGGTCACGTGACCCCGTCAAGGTCACGTGACCTCGGGGTAGGGGGGTCCACGTGCCTTCTCCTACAAGTCACGTGACCCCCCCAGAACACGTGAACCTCAGGACCCTTCCCTTCTCCTGAAGAGCTGCGCTCTAATTAGGCGTTACAGGGAGTTGTAAACGGCTTTCACTTTTTAGTTCTAATTTTCTGGAGCAATAAATAAAGCGCGCGGTTTAAAAAAAGAAAAAAAAATCGCATTTCGTTAGCGGATATTCACGTGGGAGTTTTTAAAACTGGTTCCTCGTAACTGTGCATCCTTCTATATTCTTCACGCGCGCCCAGGTCGGGACGTTTTGTGTAGAGTAAAGATTATATCCATCTCAGGCGTCTATAAAAACATTTTTATTTCAGTTGCACACAAATGCTCTTCAAAAAAAAAAAAAAATCTTGCCTCGGTCAAAAAAAAAAACAAAAAAACATTATTGGTTCTATGGGGGTGTTCGTTGCTTTCAGGGCAAGAACCCTAAAAACAACAGAGCGGGTATTTTTACACTGCTGGCATGCCTTTCTATTAAAGCGTCAGCTGTATTCAGCTGGTCGTACAGGGCGAGTGTGGTGTCGCCGAAAGCGAACGGAACATGCGCGCGCTTATCGCAGGTGGCTTCTGCGCCGGGAGATGGCGCCACCCGCTCTTTCTCGCCTTTGGTCGCCCCAGTATTGCCAGGTCTACTGATTTATCAGTAGATCTACTGATTTCGTTCCGTGTCTACTGTTTCACTGAAAAACAAGAAAATCTACTGACTTTTTTTTAGTACACATTTTAAAAATTTATTATTTGGCCCCTTCCGTTCCCAGTGTCGGTCATCAAAGGAAACTCACATTGTCTTAGAATTAATAACGAAGAACTGGCTACATGGCCCAGAAGCCCGTCCTATTCGTGTGACGTAGCCGTAAATTCATCTACCTATTTACCCAGAGTAGGTTCGGCAGATTCGGCAGATTCGACGGTGACATCCGGGCCAGAGCCATATATCGAGAGTGTTTGGCCAGTCTATGATCTCGCCGTAACGTTCCTCTCTCGAGTGAGCCAATCAGCCCGCGGCGCAGAGCGAGAGGCGTAAGTGCATGCGCCTGAACTCTCGGCTGCTTGAGCGGAGAGGGCCGCCATTTTCATTCATTTGCCCGGCGGAATGCAAGGGATCGACATCCAAATTTCACTTATTTACTTTTATTTGGCAGGTTGTGGCAAGAAAATTATATAATCTTATTCCTCGGTGGCTTAAAAAGCTAACGATTGAAGTTCTCCACGTTTAAACGCAAACTTTGGGTCAGGCGAAAAAAAAAATAAGCCCATAGCAGACGACGCGTAGCCTCAACAGTGCTCCGCGCCGACAGCGTTGCTTCAAAAACCTTCCAAAGCCCCGTAAAGAAAAATGGCAGCTTGCAGATGACTTCCATTAGACATGTACGCACGCACTTGACGGAACGTCTTGTTTCGGTTTCGTTTCAATAATAGCGACAGGTGGATGTAGCACTGTCGCCCTCATCTGTTGATGCCAAAAGTGGCTCAGTCTCGATTTCAAAGAATAATCCTCGGAATAGTCAATAATGATTAATAAAAAAAGAAGCATTTATGGTGCCATTTTAATTTGTCCTTTACAAACAATTACTCCAGAGCTGGTCTTGTTTTTTTTTTTTTTTTCATTTTTATTTGTGTTTATTACTGTGTTTTATGTTACTCTATACTGTTTCTTCGAAGTGTGTATTAATGGAAATAGAAAAACATAGTAAAGCACATATTTCGTAGAATCTACTGATTTTTGTGCAAATCTACTGACTTTTTGGGGATCAATCTGCTGAATTTTTTTTTCTCCATCTGGCAACACTGGGTCGCCCGTCAGCCGAGCTCGGACCCACCCTGGGTGTTAAGATGGAAAGCATTCGACGTCAAGATCACGACGCGCGAGAACGTGAAGCGGCACGTATACTCTGTTTCATGCTTAGTGTGCAACGCTGTCAAAGCTACTGGCGCGAGCACGGGGCTTAATCTCGTTGATCATTTGCACAGGCTCTCGCGCGAAAAAAAAAAAAAAGAATAGATGAAGCCACGAGCCCGCGCCAGTAGCTCTGACAGCGTTGCACACTAAGTAGAATAACCACGCTGCTGCGACTCACCAGTTTGTGCAGCGCGTGGTTGCGGTTTGCGCGAGACCCGGTGTCTTTGCCGGCGCCTTGCCACGAGGTTATGCAGTCGCCGTGCCCGGACAGGGACCTTCCTTCGAGGTGTGCGCTACGTGCCTATGCAGTGTTTGTGCTGGCAAGATACCGAATTTCGCCACGTGGTATACGGGTACGCACACCCGCCGATGCCAAAGGATCTCGTGGGCGAACGTTCGATAACGTTCGATAACAGCTCGGCACCCTAAGCCTTTCGCGCGAGCACGGGGTGGCCGAAGCATTCGCTGGACCAGCTGACGCTGTCCATTCGAATCCTGTTACGTAATCGTCTGCCCCATTTTTTTTTTTTTTTTTTGGGGGGGGGGGGGGGGGGGTAGGTGGAAGGGATGTTTTCTAACGAACTTCTAAAAGGGACTGCTTTAACACGGCATGCCATTCGGTTCCTCCATGTAGATAGACACGGTGACATTCCCGTCAATTTTGTCGAGCTCTTGGGTCTGCCTGCACTATCGCGCAGCAGAATGGCTGTGCGCCATGTATTAATGTACAGGGTGTCACAAAAGAAAATTCACACGGTCTTTTTCTCCGCAAAAATAAACTAGGCATAGCCGAACGCTCGTTCTCCGCCCAAAGGTAGCGCTAGAGGTCACAACCAGATGCAAAAGTTTCAGCTCGATCCGATAGCTTATTCAAAAAGCTATAAGTGATTTTCTGAAAAATTCAATGGGATAATGAAGCCCATTTTTGCCCGTTTTCGGTTTCTGGTGCCATAGAGCGCCATGTGTTTGAAAACACCGTCGGCCGCCATTTTCCCATTGAAATTTTCAGAAAATCAACTATAACTTTTGATTAAGTTATTGGATCGGGCTGAAACTTTGGGATTTGGTTGTGACCTCCAGCGCTACCTTTGGGCGGAGAATGAACGTTCGGCGATGCCCAATTTATTTTTGCGGTAAAAAAGACCGTGTAAATTTTCTTTTGTGACACCCTGTATCTTATAGAGACTGTCCCTGCAGACTGAAGTGAGCATACGCCACGATCAAATGTCACCCGGTTTGGGTGCCAATTGGTAATGCTGTGTGGAACGTGAGTGATTTCCTTAAATTACATGCCCCAGCCCACCGCGTGTCGTGCATAAAACTGGCATTATGAGTTTATCAATTCTCTTGCCAATGCAAGCAATAAAGAAACAAAAGTGTGCTTGAAGTCGAGAGATCCGGACTCCGGCGAGTCGCTTTTTCCCCAACTGACTTCCCTAAGCACTAAGCTCGAATACTTTTAGTTTCATTTCTTTTTTTGCTTCATTTTATGTATCTGAGGCTATGTTCTCTTCCAGCCAGCCGCAATTGCTTATAGCAGAAACTGCTAATTGTTAATGTTTTTTTGTTTTGTTTTTTTGCGGGTGCAATTAAGCAAAGATGATTTTCGAATATGTTTATTCGTATACTATAGTGGCAAACACTTGTGAAATCTGACGAGGCTAGCGAAATGTAATTTCGTGGTGGCAAACTAAATTCCACTCACCTCCCTGCACCGTTCGTTCAAAGTCACTAACTTCATCGGGTCATCACATTTTGTTTTAATTAATATTCTGGCAATAATGATTTTATGCGCATGCTTGCTACAAGTATAATTCGCCCAGTGGTGAAATAAATACGCGTCAATCGAGTCGAACCCCTACCTAAAAAGAAGATTTTGAACAAATAAAAAAATTTATCGGCTAAGCGCACGATTTATGTTCTTGAATTTCAGCCACCTCTCATCAGTATCCGATATGATATAAAAAGTGGCCTCCCCCCCCCCCCCCCCCCCCCCTAAATCGCTTAAGGCTAGAAAACAAATTTTTTACAAGTCAGGAATAACGAATTTGGCTTGTACAAACACCACGTTCTTCGACACCGTTCAGACTCTCAACAAGGCTGAGTGACTAAAAAAAATGCACACCATAAGCACCCCCCCCCAAGAAAAATTGTGCGGTGATTACCGGTTGGAATTTACTGAACTCCGACTGTGTGCATATATTCCATATATTGACTGCTTTGGATCTCTTAATAAAACATTGATATAACCCTCTGCTGCA